CTTCGGGTGACTGTTCAGGTAGCAAGATGTCTCTGTCAATCCTAGTGTTTATATATTATCCTTCTGTGGTCTTTGATGGAGTTGAAGACAGATAGTTATAATTATAGTTTTCCTTAGTTATGATAAAAGATAAGCTATATATAGAACTTCGGACTCACAAGGATGGGATGGATGATATTCTCTTTAAATCTTGCTAAAATATTGTAACTGTGTTCTTACTTGATAACTGTTCTCTTATATATAATTTGACTATGTTAAAGTTAAGACCTTTCTTTTTGTTTAGACAGAAAAGAGGAGATGATGGGGGAAGTCCTGTGTATATGTCAATAAAGCACTGTTGGCCAATAAGGAACCAAGATAGGTTGGACTAGGAGTCCAGGAGGACACTGGGAAGAAGAAACACAGGAAGTCAAGATGTAACGCCATGGGGTAGGAAGCCCGGAAAGTTCTCTGGTAAGAGAAATACTTAGATTAACAATTATGGGGTAATTACTTAAGTCAGAGCTAGCCAGTAAGAAACAAGCAAGGCCAACAGCTTCATAATTAATATAGCCTACTGTGTGTTTATTTGGGACTGATGTGGCTCTGGAACCAGGCTGGCGGGAAGGCTCCTCTTTACACTGCAGTCCAACTGCATCCTGCAGGAATAGAGGTAGACATGGATGAGGCCATCTATAAATAGGTTGATGCAGGGCTGATAGTGATATGGACAAGATTATAATAGGAGTAAAGAAGGAAACCAAAAGTTACCTATAAAGACCCAAGCTAGTATGGTCACTGGGGATTCCAGATTGAGAGTGTTTCTAGGCATTGGCAGTTGACACAGAGGATTGGGAGTGTGCTGGATGGGATGGTAGAAAGCCACAACAGAATGGAGAGATTAGCATCTTGACCTTTATATGCATAGATATAGTTTTCTTCATCTTATTGGGATTATTTTTATTTACTGACATCATTGCATATATGGTTATGCATCTTTCATTATTTTCTTAAAACTTGTGTCAATTGTGTCTCCAATTAGGGTTTCTACATAAACTACACGTGTATGGGGTAAATTAACACAAGTTTAAAATAAATGTATATGAAGAGTGCTGGAGACTGAATGAGATATTTACACATGTATAGTTGTGACACTTCTTTAGATATTATGTATGTTTATGGGTGTTCAAGAAGAATTTAATTTGGATTTTTTTCTACCCTAATTATTGTCAGTGAACCACAGATATCAAATTCTTTCAGTAGGATATGAGCTTCCTTGTGCCTCTGGTAAAACCTGGGGCACTAAATGTCTTGTTAGCATTACCTTGGTAACCCACATTTTCCTCAGATCCTGTCTGTGTACTGCACAAATGGTATGTTCCTCCTATGCCATTACTTGTCCGTGTTGCTCACATGGCCCATTTTTTCCAAGCTCATGGAAATCAGACATGATTTCCCCTGGTTAAATCTGGATTTCAGAAAGACCCGTGTGTCCAGACCTAAAGGCCAGACCTTGTCTACTTTTGATGAATTTCTTGGGATGAAATGAAGTTTTTCTCTCTTCCTTTGGCAAAATTTTTATTTTCATCACCTCCTGTGGTGGCATCTAACTTTTGAGGAGACCACAGATAGATAACCAGGTTCTGATACTCCTCTTTCTCCTGAAGAACAATCCTTTGCCTGGGACTAGGGGACATGAAGTGACCTGGCTTGTATGAAAAGGAAAAGTGCTTCTGCTGTGTATGTACAAAGGGACCAACAATACAACACCAAGATAAGGGAAGGCCAACATTGTTCTTTAGAGCAAGTTAGTATATCACTACTAGTTGCTTTCTTAGTTGATGACAAGCTCTGCTAAATTGGCATGGGCTGTCCCTAATTTACGAGGCTTGTGAAGTTTCTCAAAGTACAGACTTGCCTCTACTTGGCTTTGAAGAGATCCTTAAAATATCGACTCTCCCCGTGTGTATTTTCTGATGGCTCTTTCTTTCTGCGAGTCTTTCCAAAATGACACTTGTATGCCCTAAACTGCTTCCTAATAGCTTTGTATACTTTGCAATGAATTCACCTGATGACTACAAATTCAGCTCTCCGATGGACCCCTGAAATATTATTTTTCTTTATCAGCATAACTACTGTTGATAGGATGGGATAGCATTCTCTTTGACTTTCTATGTTCTCATCAGCAGTAAAATTTCTAGTAAATCAGTATTTATTCCTGACATACAAATGGACTTTGGGTGCCCATCCCACAATGAGAGATGCACTCTCACCCTGGACTCTTGGGGGAGGGTCTAGGCCCTACCCTGGATGAAATGACAGACTATGGACAGCCCCATAGAGGCCTCACCCTCCCTGGGTGAGGGGGGTTGTTGGGTGGGCATGGGAGGAGGAGAGGGAAAGGGAGAGGGACCTGGGATTGACGTGTGAAGCAACCTTGTTTCTAATTTAAATTTAAAAATAAAAAGAAAAGAAAAAAATTATAGAGCTCTTATTTTTGCAGTTATCTTTGTCCTTTAGGACTCAGAGGACAAAAATAATAATTCTCATCATCCCCCATGTTTTAACCCTAAGAATCTCAAGTCATTTATGCTTATTAATATAATGAAGCAATGTGAGAGGGTATCCATACTGAGTATAATGAAATGGCAAAGTAGGCATTTACCATTATCCATGTATTGCTATGATGACAAAGTGAACCTATTAATGTAATAAAAATGATGTTCTCCTTTCAATGAAAAGCATATGAATTTGCTGGCTTGGCTTCTGTCAGCTGTTTTTCTGGTATACCATGTGGATACTTCAAGTGGCAGAATTATTCAAAAGCTTCATGATTTTGACAACATGTCTAAGTTTTTTTATAATATTTTTTATTTAAATTAGAAACAAGCTTGCTTCACATGTCAATCCCAGCTGCCTCTTCCTCCCCTCTTCCCCTGCCCCTTCACCAGTCCCCTAGCCCCCCACCCAATCCCCACACTCTTCCTGAGGGAAGATGAGGCCCTCCATGGGGGATCTCCAAAGTCTGTCATTTCATCCAGGGCAGGATCTAGCCCCCCCCCCATGTGTCCTTGCTGAGAGAGCATCCCTCCATGTGGAATGGGCTCCCCATGTACATTTTTACCCCATGGTAAATATTGATCTACTACCCAAGGCCCCAGAGATTGCCGAGACCTCCTCACTGACAACACATTCAAGGGGTCTGGATCAGTCCCATGATGGCCTCTTATTAGTCTGGGGTCCAAGAGCTCTCCCCTTGTCAGGTCAGCTGTCTCTGTGGTCTTGATCTCTTTGCCCATCACTCCTCCCTCTCTGTCACTGGGTTCCAGGAGTTCAGTTCAGTGTTTAGTTGTGGGTATCTTCCCCTGCTTCCAGCAGTCTCTGTATGAAGGTTTCAGTGGGATTGTAGGCTGGCACTCCCCTGGTCCATGTCTAAAATCCATATATGAGTGAGTACATACCATGTTTGTCTTTTTGTGACTAGGTTATCTCAGGATGGTTTCTTCTAGTGCCATCCATTTTCCTGAAAATTTCAAGATTCCATTGTTTTTTCCCTGCTGAATAGTGCTGTATTGTGTAAATATACCACATTTTCTCTATCTACTCTTCAGTTGTGGGGCATCTAGATTGCTTCCAAGTTCTGGCTATTACAAATAGTGCTGCTATAAACATAGTGGGACAGATGTCCTTGTTGTGTGAATGTGCATTAAGAACAAAAATAGGTTCAACTGTTCTGGAAAGTTACCCTCTGCATATACATGACTCAGGTTTGTCCTAAGACAGAAGCTGATCTGAAATTTCCCTTTTAATTTCCTTCTCTTAAGTAAGGTTTTTAACTCCCAAGAACATAAGATCTTTTCTGTGGCCCCAGTCTTCATCCACAATGAAATATAATCTTTCCTGTTCTTGGAAGGGAATGATTTTCCAGGACAATTCCTTCTCACTGTAAACAGTTTCATTCAAGGCCATTGCTTGACCGCTTGTTTTGCTTTTTGGTTGGTCTTCCAGATCTCCCACCTAGCATATATGGCTATGTCTTCCCATTTGTCCTGACTTTTATTATTTATTTAATACTTCAACCAATTTCCATCAAGTGAGATCATCCATTTGTAGAGACACACCAAAGAAGCAAGCCTGGAGACACTGGAGGTTGTTGGGTCTCCCGTGCTATTTTTTCCTTGTTTCTCTTAAAACATATTTTTATTGCAAAGAGTCATCGGTCTTGTTCGAGGCCCATGTTCTCCACTACACCATCAACTCTGTGCTCTGGAACTTTCTGGAAGTCCCACTGCTGCCACGTGCAGCGGAGAACATGCAACTTTGGGTCTGCAGGTCCGATCACTTCACGTGCTCAAGTAGATCAAAGACTAAAGACGGGGTCCGTTTTGGGGCAGACCAAGTCATCATTCTGAATGTGGGTCTGGGCAGAGACGGGGTGCGTTTTGGGGCAGACCAAGTCATCATTCTGAATGTGGGTCTGGGCAGAGACGGGGTGCGTTTTGGGGCAGACCAAGTCATCATTCTGAATGTGGGTCTGGGCAGAGACGGGGTGCGTATTGGGGCAGACCAAGTCATCATTCTGAATGCGGGTCTGGGCAGCTATATTGCTGGTCTGCCAGATGGGGAATGGAGAAAACGACTCTACAACAGACACTTGCTAGTAGAGATGTATGGACACAGGGTGTATAATGTGACTCGGTGGGTTGCACTCAGGCTTCCATGATGAGATTTTTGTTTTCTTCCCATTTTAAATTTATTTCATTTTATTTCCCTCTTTTTTCTCTTGAATTTTGTTTTATTAGGGGTAGAGGGAGTGCAGGGGTAGAGGGCAGATGGGAAGGGATCAGGATTCGTGATGAGGACACAAAGAATAAATGCAAATCATTTTGTACAACATGGCTTGATTATATGCACCTCCTCTCTCTTTGCCCCGTCTTTCCTTCCCTGTTCTCTTCTTCCTTCCTTTTCAGTGACACAGAGAAGATCAAATACAAGCTTGGAACTTCAGCCACGTCAGTCAACCCCTCTGTAGGGACGTTAGCTTTCTGAACTGGAAGTAACGTTCCCTCCGGAGATTAGAGCAGCAGCAACAGTGTTAGTCACTGGAGCCTCAAAATACACCTGCAGTCTCCACAGAGCTGCATCAGATAAGCCATGACAGAGGAGCCGGGAAATAAGAAAGATGCCAAGAACACAGCTCCAGAGACAGAGGGGGACGGCATGGATCAAGTGGACCTTGGGCCATTAATTAAAATAACCCCTTATCTGAAAACACTTCCAACTGCCGTGGGGAAGTTTAGACGTCTACACTTAGAAAAATCGCCTGATTCTTCAAGTCCCCCAAAGTTACCAGACCCACAACTGAGTACTTCCCTGGAGGGGCCATTTGGCTTGGGCCCTCTAGTTTTCCCTGCTTTTCAACGTTTCAACAACATTGACTTCTTCACGTTTTGGTACTTTCTGTTGGTCACAGCTCATGGTAAGTTGGAGGAGCAGAGTTGCTCTGTTGACGGCAGTAGTGTGGTAGACGAGGCTGACATAATATGGGAAGGAAAGGTTTAATGACGGGGCATCATTTAGCCGAATTCTCTGCCCTTGCCTCCAGTCCACGTGCTCTGCAGAGCCCACAGGACACGGTGGTATCAGCTTTCTGGTCTCCAGATACAGAGCTGATCAGAGGGTGGTCTTGTTACTTCATGTTATTTGATGACCAACTTGAGTTCTGGGTTCGATTTCCTGGAGATGAAAGTTGAAGGCAACATTGTCAGCAGCAGGTTGTTAGTATGCACAACTGTGAAACACACTGCCAACTTTCTGTAAGCATCTTGTTTCTTCATCTTTGAATTGCCTGGGTTCAGTAAGCACGATGCAAAACCCAAAGTGTTTGTATCCACATGTTATCTACTCTGTCTTTCTCTCCTTGTATTATTTGACTTAAAAAATTCTACTAATAATTTTTATTGATATAAAAAGTCTCACTCGTTTTGCCTGTAGTCCCCCAACTCCATTAGTCCACAACTGAACATTCGTTGATTTGCAAGTGTTCTGGTTAACTCAGAAAAGGGCATTTGCCTACCACCTGGCTCTCACACCTATCTGCTCCCAGGGAGTGTCTCTAGCAGTACACACCAAAATACAGCAAGAATTTTCTATGGTTTTCTGCTTTGCTGGTGATTTGGGCAGCAGGAGGCATCCTGGGTGATTGAAGTCCTTACAGGTAAAACAGGGAATTGACAACCTATCAGCAGCAATCATGATTTTTTTCCTCAGCTCTGTGCTCCTTGTGTCTAGCTGTGACAACTGCTGGGGCAGCAGACCAGCAGGTGATCAGTGGCTTCTCAGTATTTGAGACAGTTGGACAGCAGCAGCTGTGCTTAGTGCAGCAATGACTTGTGATCCAGCCTGGTTGCGGACATATCTTGAGTCTTGATTTTAACCGTGTTCTGTTTTCACTCCAAGAAATGTAATACATTTGTAGCTATTACCTGTATTGTGTTATTTTTGTTTCATTTAGTATGGTTTTTTTCCTTCTTTACATGCCGTATGGTGATTTTATACAAATAATACTACCATCTCTTTAATACTTAAGAACATGAAACAATTTAAATTGAATATATACATTTCTCTTAAAGATTGAAAATTCCCAGAAATGTTAAACTTCAAGCTCAGAATCCTAGCTACAGAACAAGGTTGTATTTAGAAATCCAAGCTGTGTTCCCCATGATTTCATAGTTCTGATTTAAAAATATATAAATATTCATTATATTATTTATTCTTCATAATGATGCATAACACATTTAAAAAGAGGGATGAGATGATAAAAGCATAGTTGATTTTTAATAAGCTACTAATAGAAGTAGTTAAAGAGATTCAAATTTTCAAGTAAAAATATTTCCTGGAGGATAATGAATTGATTTTGTGTATAGGCTTTACTCATTCATAGTATTATAAAATAAACTTAAATCAGTGTAAAGTTTTCTTTGAATGGTTATAACAGTGATATGTTTTGTCTATTAAAATGCATTATGTTGTCTTTTTCTTTTGAATTTTTAGGTGCTGTATTTGCTCTTGTTGATTATTGTTTAAAAAAAATAGACAAGGAATTTTCTCTGTCAGAGAAAGAGAGACTCATAATGGATTACAGCGATTATCATGCATCTTTTCTGGTAGCAGTACTCATAGCACACTATGGAGGCAGAGGAAACAGGTCAAAATGGATGGCAGCTTCTGCCTTTATATTAGGAATTGCATCAATTATATTTGCTCTTATTTTCTACAAGTATGAAATTATAAAACCAGTGGAAAAAAGTGAAGGTGAGAATTTTTCAAATAACTTATTATATACTAAATCAATATGGAAATCATTTGTTCAAGGAATTTAAGATGTCATGATGTATGTGTGTCCTTTCCTTGTTTATGTAACCACGGTTATTGACTATTTGCATTAGTCTAATTAATTAGCTTTCTAGTTTACCTCACAGCAGAGATGACTCTAGGAAAGAAAGAACATTGTGGTATAATTTGTGAAATTATTTTTTATACAATTTTATGGGTGTTCCGAATTTCTTGAGAAATCTTTAGATATTTCAGTTACTCCCTTCATTTTCGTTGTAGAACAGACCCACATATATTCAAATACAGGAATAAGTCTACTCACAGAGAAGGAGTAACATTCTGAGTTACTCTTCCCATTGTAAATTTTGGAGGCATTTGACTCTGAAGATAGTGGCTTTCTTGTGTTGTTTGATATTGTTTATTTGGCAATCATTTTATTTTTCCTAGTAATTATGATCCATTTGAAATGTTCTTAGAGTATATTTCTAACATTATAGTCCCCGATTCTTCCTTATCATATACAGGCTTTCTATCATATACAGGTTTTAGCAAGACATGATGATTAACAGAGATGCATCTGTGTGTATATGGACATAAATGTTTTAGAAGTTTACAATATATATTTATGTGATTATAAAATATTAAATTTAAAAGTGGTTACTATGTAACACAGCTATTTTAATGATGATACTGTTCTATACTATACAATGCATACAAATATAAATATTATATATTACAATCTGCCTGTAGCATGTCTTTTATATTTACAGAACTGACATCAGATTTCATAAGAACATGGCTTATGAATAGAAGGGAATGAACAAAATATCATTCCTTGGTTCTGTTCATTATATTTTGTTCAGAAATGGTTGAACCTTCAGGAACTTAGTGTCTTGATAAACATTAAAATTCTGATCAGTGGTTTGGCGCATGTAGTACCCTTGCAGAGGACCTAAATTTGGTTCCAAGCATACACATCAGGCAGTTGGGAACTACTCATAACTGCAACGCTAGGGCATCAGGCATCCTCTTCTGGCCTCTGCTGGCATTGGCTTTTACACACACACACATACACACACACACACACACTCACACACACACACTATCTAAAAATTAAATAAAATATTTAAGATGTTATCAATGCTGAAAAGGAGTTACAGCAATGATTATTTTTTTCTTCTCTTGAATCTTGCTCATGTCAAGTTTATTTTGTTTTACTTAGGATTACAATGCATAATTATACACTCATATTTTAGTCTATAGAAGCACACACAGAAGGAACTTCTGCATTTGTTTTTTATACCTACCACTATTCTTTTATTGATGTTTCCTGATTGTCTTTTATGTTCTTTATTTTTGTACATTATTTACTAGATAGATATGAGGATCACCTTTCGTTATGGGTTCTCTAAATCTCTTTGGTATCACACATATCGTTCCCTTTTTATTCTGTTATTTGCTCCATGAGTCCATCTGGTATCTACAAGGATGACTGGTTCATATTCAAACTTGTGCCTCATCACACATGTAGCATCATACTTCAGCACAACTTGAAATACATTCATCATGAATATTCTTCACAAATTCATGAAAACACTCACACTATATTGTCATCTTTGTTTTCTAATAAACTTTATATGAGGTTACCATTCACACATTTGTATCAGCGGGCATACAGAGATCAGATTTATGGTGACAACCATGAGTGTTTTCAACTGACTCATAATGAAGGCAACCTTCTGTTCTTTCATGAGGACTAGGGGATATTGACACCTGCTTTCTCTGATTCTCATAGTTAATATTTCCCAAAGTTTGTTCTTGTTTTCTGTCTGCCAACATGACATAGCAACATCTATCTAAGCTTCTCTAGTGAGTACCCTCAACTCTCCTGTCTCATCGTTCTTTGTCTTCTTTGTAAACCTTGAGAGTGAATCATGCACCTGTCCTTTCCCTATGAACACTGCTGATGGGTCCTGTGATGAATCTTCTGCTGCCAGAAGGAAGTTCTGGTTTCCTCATAAATATCTAGTCACCTGAAAATTGACTTATTCCAAAGTCTATTCTAATTTTTAAAAGGACTTTAAGTTTTCTTACTGCACTCCTAATATGTCCTGTGATGGATGAAAAATGAGGTCATGGAGGAAAATTACATTAGTTGCTTTACATTGAAATTTTTATTGGGCCTACAGTTACGTTATTAGTATTCATCACTGTGGAAGTGAACCCCACAAAGACATCTGCCCATGTGGGCTGGGATAGTAAATTAGCACAGGTAGAGATAAAAGGAAGCAAAAGGAAAAAGGACCTCCGCTCTTTTGGAAGCCGACCACACTTCTGATTCCTAGCTTGTGTGATTCTCTCTCTGGTAAATAAATATATTGTATTCTCTATTGCATTGACTATCACCATTACATCGCTTCTTCCCTCCAGTTAAAATGAAGGAGGTGTCCTATGGTGGTTATTCTGTGAGTTCCTGTCCTAAACTTTGTCCCTCTAGTTATCCCCTTCTACAGCTCTCAGAAGGTCACCCTTCTCTGTCAGTTTTCACTAATGCTTAAATGTAAGCAAATTCCTTTCATTCCATCTAAAAGTTTTGAACGCTTCATTTGTTTGGTTTTTGAATTAAAATAAATTTGTATTGTTTCCCCCTTTCCATTTTTATATTCCAGTGTCTCCCACATCTCATCCTGCCAAGCCCTCCCATGTTGTTCCCTCCATCTACATTTCTACATTTCTATCCTTAGTCACGTTCACATTCTTGGCCTCTCTTTCTTTGCTATTGTTACTCTGTATTGGGGGATAGATGAGGGAGTGTTTTAAATTTCTTAAAAATGTCAAATATTGTGTTTTATTTGCTTGAATATTGTGCGTGAATGCATGCATGATGTGTGTGCCTGGTGCAGATAACTGTGAGCTGCCAGTTAGGCACTGGAGAAAGAATCCAGGTTCTCTGGAAGAACACCCAGAACCCTGAACTGTTTAGGAACTCCCTAGTATCAGCTACTTAGATCTACAGATCTACTAGCAAGTATAAATATACAAACCTTATGGCCTTGTGAGTAACAAAAAACAGAAATAACATGTTCTTATTTTTGTTACTGATAGGTTTTTAAATCTAATGGGTATATGGCCACACAGTAACCAAAGAAATCTTTAGGAAATAATATCTTTTTAAAATGATCCCATGTGTACTTAGATATTCTGTGACTGTGAACAAATGCCAAATGTAAACAGCTTAGACTAGGAAAATCCTGTTTTAAATCATGGTTTCAGAGTGGCCCCTCCATGGTTACTAGGCTCTGTTGACTCTGAGCCCATTGTCAGGAAGAGAACTAGGAGTATGTTAGGAAGTCTGTTTACTTCACGGTCAGAGACAAGGAGAGTGAAGATAGAAACAGAATAAGACAACACATCAGAGTTCAGTTGCTTCTTCCCTCCCTGTTACACTTTTAGGAGCCTCTGTAAATAATATCCTCAGGGAACTAAGCATTTGGTACAATAGACATTAGTCAGGTGTTTCATACACAAACCATAAGAGTATATAGTATAGAAACTCATGGGTCTAAAATAGGAAATTATTTAATGCAAGAAGCACACACATAATTTAAAGATTGCTAAAGAAAGGACCACAGAACTAAACTCAGATGGTGGACTTTGGCAACACAGATCATCCAGGGCATTGCAAGTTCTTCTATTCTGGAGACAAAACTCATTAGAACAGGATGCAGAGCATAGAAAAAAAGAGTGTATATGTATGTGTAAATTTGTGTATATAAGTATATCTCTGTACATGTAACCCTCTGCATATAAACAATCACACTGTTTCATGTATACTATGCGACTCTTCCAGCACAGCCTCACATTTTGTTTTATTGTGCTATTTCTATTGAGAATATGACAATTGGTTATATAATAATACTCAATGAAAAAATACTAAGTAAATAGCCGGACATTGGTGGTGCATGCCTTTAATCCCGGCACTCGGGAGGCAGAGGCAGCTCTGTGAGTTCTAGGCTAGCCTGGTCTATAGAGCGAGTTCCAGGATAGCCCCCCAAAATACAGAGAAACCCTGTCTTGAAAAACTAAAAAAAAACCTACTAAGTTAAAGAAAAAATTTGTGGTGGTAGCAGCTGCAACATAGTTGTACATTTAATTTTAGTTCAATTAAGTAAAATATGGTTCTCATCTTTCAAAAGAATTGTGCATAGAAGAACAACACAGGACAATGTCAGGTTGTCGGGCACTAATGTTACCACACAGAACAGAATGTATCCACCTCTTCATCCTTGGGCAATACCTCCATGGAATAACAGGAATGCCTCTTTATATCCTTGGCGTGACCTTCATTTTCGACCATGTTCCCACATTCTCAGCTGGCCTCTATCTAGGCAAGTTTGTTTCTTTCAAATACGCATGCCCCATTTTGAATTTTCATTAGGTTTCTGCATGCTTCAACTGATACTGAAATACTGATTCAGAAGTGTGATGACACTGTACCAGGTAGTGATGACTTGTGTGCATAGCACAGTTGCAAATCACATTGATCTTTCCAATTTCAAGTTTTGGAATACTAGACAAGTCACCAAAAGTCTCTGAAAAGAGTCAGTGGAATAGCAAAACAGTGTATATTTTAAGTGGCTAAATTTTTCTATTTGTCTCTGTTTCTCTTTCCCTCTGTGAGACAGTAGGAGGGCGGGGAAGGAGAGGTAACTTGGTAGAGGAAAGGAAGGGTTAGATAGTAGTTCACAGTGTCATCACTTCCACTTACAATGCCGTATATAAATTGTGTCCTTAAGGAAACATTGATTCATCCCCAAATAATGTACCTAATAACCAGTTATGGAGTCTAGCCCTGGTAGGGCAGAATAAAGATATACTTTCCCAGAGATACCTAGATATCATTTTTTAAAATATAAACCTAATTTGTACTTACTTTAAAAATATCTTTAGCAAGATATTAAAGGAACTATGGTTTATTTATGTTCACATTGAACATAATTAGGGGGTACATTAAACTCTTACATTAATTTCACATCAGTCTCCTGCCCTACTAATTTGGGATTTGTTAGAATCAATTCCAGAAAATATGTCCAATATTTCTCTTTATCCCCCCTTCCCCTTTCCTCCCATTTCTTCCCCACCTTCCTTCTCTTAAGTAATAGAGATTAGCATGGAAAAATTTCAGATATCACAGACTCTGCAGTGGCATTTTGTATGACCAAGTTATGAAACTGGTGCTTTGTTCATTTTCAAGCTATCTGTGATGCTGCACAATTGTTAGGATATCTTCTGGGTTTTGTAATATCATCATGGCCTCCTCCTCAGCATGGAAATCCGAATGAAGAGTAAGTTATACTGTTTGCTTTTCTATTTAGTGTAGATTATATAGAATATTTGTTGAATAGGCACCATAGCTCATAAATAATAAACACTTAGTTATTCAAAGTTTTAGAAAATGTATGTAATTGTGGACAATGTACCTTTGCAATGTACATTTGTATTTACGCTGTTTGAAATATAACTAAAATCATTACTTAAAAGTTCACTAACTTTTTAATATTTTGTTGTTAAAAACATGACTTACTCATTCAATACAATTCAATACTAATAATTATGTGCAGTATATACAGACGTTTTCATCTTATTTATTTTGTTATTTTTCATACAATTATTGTGACAATATTCTTCCCTTATACCAAACTCCTCCCCTCCTAGCCTCATCAGGTGTTTGTGTTCTTCTTCTTTTATTCATTGAAAAAAGCAAAATAAAAACAAAACAACCCCCACACAAAAACTATATAAAAATTAAAACAAACAAGCAAAAGACTAGTAAGGCAAAAATAAATGATAAACTAAAACAAAATGAAAAAATATTTCAAAAAATATGATTTCATTTTATGTTGGGTAACTAACAATCATAGCCATGAGACCAGCTCTGGAATGTTGCTTTTATACACTGTGACACTCTACCGTAGAAAACTTACTATCCCTTCACAAATGGGCAACTTTTGGAAATAGTCTCATAGTTAGAACTGGGACCCCATGTCTCACTCCCAAGCTCTGGGTTGGGACCAGTGCAATCTTCTGTATGTTACTACAGTCTCTGTGAGTTCATGTATGCATCAGTCCTATTCTGTCTGGAGGATGCTATTTCCCTGGAGTCAATCATCGCTTCTGGCTCTTAAAATCTTCTCACCTTCTCTTCTGTACAGAGACCTAAGTCTTGAGGGGAGGGCTTTGATGACTACTCCAATGTTTCTCACTCCACTTTATTCAGTTGTAGGTGTCTGTCTTAACGATTGTCTACTGCAAGAAGCTTCTCTGATGTGTGTTGAACAAGGCATTGATCTACAGGTACACTGAATGCTATTAGGAATCATTTGACTGCTATAGCCCTTTAGCAGAATAATACTATTAATTTTTTCCCTAAGCCCATGATTTATCTCGTCTCAGGTTCTTGGCCACTTTAGCAGTGTCAGACATGGTTTCTATCTCATGGAGTGGACCTTAAATCCAATCAAAAAGTTCTTGACTACTCCCAGAATGTTTGTGACACCATTGCACTAACACAAATCAAGTAAGGGCACTGTTGTAGGTCAAAAGGTTTATAGGTTGGTGATGATTGTTTCTCCTCTGGTAGCATCCAGAGTATCTTACAGTGCCATAAATGTTAGTAAGTAGGGATGGAGCTTCTAGTTATGCACTAGCTCAGCTTTTCCATGTATGATGACATAAGTAAAGTGCTGTCTTTAGCAATTGGACCTGACTATCAAGTTGTGAAGAGCAACCAATATCCTTGAAAATAAGTTGTAATGTATGGGGGTGTTGTAGCATGCCTTTAGTATGTGATTCGGTAAGATTTCATTTAATCCTGAGATTTGATGGCATAAGATCTAGTTGGAGCATTGCCTCCTCAATTATTTGATGATTCCATTTGGATTCTTTTCATGTGTGTATATATTTTAGGAAACATCTAGAGTACTGGGTTTTTATATGGAATTTCAAATGGTCTTTAGTGTTAGATGTGCCTCCCCATATTTCCTCCTTTATTTGCCTTTGTCTGTCTCCACTGTCCCCTTCTCCATTTAACCCTCTCATTCTAGTTTCTTATCTGTCTGTAACATTCCACTACATTGCATTTCCCCTGTCTTGGGAGATTCTCTCCTCCCTCCTGGTCCCTTAATAGATATATATCCTCTGGGTTACTCATATTGAAGTACACATAGTTACCTTCCACATATGAGAACACACACACACACACACACACATATATATACATATACATACACATAAATACATGCAGAGAGTGATTTTGTATCTGTGATCTCATCTGTGTTCTCTTACTCGGCATTATTTCTTTCTGGTTCCATTCATTTATATACAGCTTTCATAATTTCATTCTTAACAGAAGAATATTAATCCATTTCATAAATGTGCCATATTGTTATTGTTCATTCATCAGTTGATGGACATGTAGGCTATTTCCAATCTCTGGCTATTATGCTTACAGCAGCAATGAACATGGATGAGTAAATGTCACTGTACAGTCCTTTGGGTATGTGCCCAAGGTGGTATAATTGGATTGAGGTGGACTGACTCTGAGCTTCCTGAGAGAAACTCCACCTTGTTTTCCATAATGGTTATTGCAGTGAACACTCTAATCTGAAAAAGATATCATTTTTTATGTTGAAATTGGCAGCCTGAAAGATTGGAGATGAAATCTCAAAGTAGTTCTTATTTGCATTTCCCTGAAGAATACAGTTGAGAATTTTTAAAAAGTGTTTATCAATCATTTGTGTTTCATCTTTGAGATTTTCTGATTATATCTCTACTCCAGGTTTTAAATCTAGAAATTTTGTACTCAATTTTTAAATTGTGTTATATTTTTTGCTGTTCAGTGTTTTAGTTCTTTACATATTTGTAGATGCTAACTTTCTATCAGACATAATTGGTAAATATCTTTACACATTCTGTTGCCTGTTGCTTTGCTTGAGTGATTATGTGTCCTTTGCCTTATAGAAGATTTTCAGTTTCCATTCTTGTTGAAATTGTCTTTAATGGATTTGCTGTTGTAGTACTGTTGTTAAAGTCCTTTCCTGTGTCAACAAGCTCAAGCCTATCTCGCCACACTCCCCCCCTACCATCCTGATTCTGTTTGTGATGGTCAGTATATCTGTTCTTATGTTGAGGTCCTTGATCCAATTGGAGTTTGGTTGTATGAAGAGTGTCAGAAATGGATCTATTTGCGTCCTTGTATTACCGCCACCATTTTTGAAGATACTCTCAAGTGTGTATTATTGGTTTCATAATAAAAACAAATCCAGTGTGGGTACATATGTGGAATTATGTCTGTGTCTTCAGTTTGACTCCATTGACTAGTGTGTCTGTATTTATGCCAATAATATGATTATTTTTTATTACTCTAGATCTGAAGTGTAACAAGAAATCAGAGATGGTGATAACATTAGCAATTCTTTCACTATTCAGTCTTATTTTACTCTATATGTCTGTCTGTCTGTTGCTCTCTCTCTCTCTCTCTCTCTCTCTCTCTGTGTGTGTGTGAAATTGAAGTTGATTTTTTAACTGCAAGGGATTGTGTTGGCATTTTGATTGGGTTTTTGTTGAATCTGCTGTTTGCTTTTGGTAAGATAGTCATTTTGGTAGGATGCTCATTAGTCCTGATCCATGAGCATAGGAGATCACATCTTCTTGCCCTTTTCAATGTATTAAGATTGTATTACACAAGTCGTTCACTCTTTGGTTTGAGAGATCTCAAGATGCTTTGTGAGGCTATTGTGAAAGGTATTGTGTCCCTGATTTCTTTCTCAGGTCTGGTCATCATTTGCATTGTATCCTGCTACTTTGCTGAAAGTGATTATTGGCTTAGTAGTTTCCTGGTGAAATCTTCAAGGTCTTCTTCATAAAATCATATAATCTTGGAATAAAGATAATTTAAAATTTTCCTTTTCTATTTGTATCTCCTTGATCTCCTTCAGTTGACTTATTGCTCTGGGATGAACTTCAATTTCAACACTGAATAGTTATGGAGAGTTGTTACTTACTAATTTTAGTGGAAATGCTTTGAGATTTTCTCAGTGTATATTGATGTTGGTTGTGAGCCTTGATTTAAGTATGTGGGACTAAACCTGCATCTCTGGGACTAGGCTTACTTGATTATGGTAGATGATCATTTTGTTGTGCACCTGTATTCAGTTTGCAAGTATTTTATTGAGAACTTTTGTATCTATGTATTCCTTGTAATGCAGAAAAGCTACATTGTAATAACAGAATCTTGACAACCTGAATCTAGGGTACTGTACAGTCTTTACATAGTAACTAAGGACTGCAGACTCAGAGAAAATAAGCGTCATGGGTTGAATTTTTTAAAACCAAATGACGAAGACAGTGATATTAAGAGGATTGAAACTTGCCCACCCCTCTGTCATTGCTATAAGAGGTGAATTAGCCAGAGCAATTCTGGAGCGCTCACCCTGGTGTGGAGGACAGGGAGAACTGGTGGGTAGACCAACCTTGCAACCAGGGTTATGACTTGGTTGACCTTGATATCAATTGCCTGCTAGAGCACATGAAAGAACCTGACACACAGACTGAAATTTCAGGATCTCTATGACACAGTGCAACAACAGGATACCCAAGAAGAGTTCCAGTGATGGCCTAGCATCGCTAGTGTGATAAAAACCAATGACTCTTTGCAATGAACACTTGCAAGTGATGATACATGGACAAGGAGGTTTATTGTGTGACTCACTGTGTCACACTCTAACTTCCATGATGAGATTTTTTTATTTTAACCCCCTTTTCTCTTAAATTTTGGTTTATCAGGGACAGGGGTTTGGGGAACATGGGTGGGGTTAGACTCCAAAGATGGGGAAATGAATGGTATCAAGATACATGAGTTAAAGACATGTAGTGTAAAAATGGAGGATTAGAATAGAGCCAGCAAGATGGCTTATTGTATATAGATGCTTGACACCAACCCTAAAGACCCTTTTTGATATTCCAGGGTCCACAGGGTAGAAAGTATAAACTCCTGACAATTGTACTCTGACATCCTCATGTATATACTGATATACATACACACACATGCAAAATTGAAAAAAATGTGAGAAGCACTTTGTAAAGAAAAAAATCTGGAATAAATGTCTACTATATCAATATCTGAAAGGCTGTACCTGATGAAAAGCTTCATTGAAAATGACCCCAGCTACAATTCAAATTGTGCAAGATATTTATCCACATGAAAAGCAATAAGAATTAATTTTCAATAAATACTTTAAAATATCTGTTTTACAGAAACCAAAATAAGCTTTATAAAGATAAAGAG